GAGAACCCTGCCTAACCCTAACCCTATCAAATAGTTACCAGGGTACGTTCCGGCAGTAACCTGGGGGACATAGACCCTATGAGTATGAGCCATAGTAACGGCACATCTAAATTTAAAAACTGGTAAAAACTGGTAGGTGGCGCTGGGTTAAATGTGGGCGGTCATGGTAACAAACTCACCCCGGAGCCTAGTGATCTCAGTTCTATGCTCCTTTAGACTATCCTCGTGTCCTGCTATATCAGCATGGCTTGGTGTCCAGTCGATGTTGACCGAGATGCCCTTTTCCTCCAGCTGACTAATAAGGCTGTTGGTGGTAGCTAAGGTGTTATGTAGCTGGTTAGTGGTTAGCCTTCCAGCCCAGTGTGAGTAGTCCAGCTGCAGTAAAAACAGAGGTTGTAAGTCCAGTAATAATATATAATTATAATAAGTAATTATACTATGCTGAATTACAAACAAGTTTACCGCCATTCGTATCGTATCGTATCATATATTTTCCCACTCTTGTATTTCACAAGGCATCACTTCTGGTAAAGGTGCGAGGATATTCTGGGAATGTAACTTTTATCTCATATTTTCATTGATTTGTACCTCCAGCATTTAATTCTGCTAATCTTATTCTTTGATCCCTATATTTTAGGAATTTCCTCACGTGGTCGGAAGCAATTTTAAGTAACTTGGGATCGTCACATTTCCAGTCTTCAATGGACTCCCCTTTATTTATATCCCCATATATTCAAAGCCATTATATAGATGTAACAATTATTTTAATTAATCATTATCAATATTATATTATCAATCATTTTCAGTTTTGTTTTTGTTGCTCCTTCCCCTTCGTCCCTTTCTATCATTTTTTTTAGAATGGCCTCTTTTACCATATTTTTCCATCTCATTTTTGATAAGGCGCCAATAGATAAGAATGACATATTTAATTTATTATTATTCTTCAATTTTGTCCACAATTTCAGTTGCGCAATTTTTTCCCATATTTTAATTGTTGTAACAACAGTTACACTCTTGTCATTAAACATTCTTGCTCTAAATTAATTATGTACTAAGTGTAATAACATTAACCTTTTATAATAGATTTGATCAAGAATTGGTATTATACCTAGCTCAACTCTTAGAGCGATTAGTGGGGTTTTACTATATGTGCACCTAGTATTCTCCTTAAGCAATCATTTTGAAACTTCAAACACAGGGAAAAAATTAAAATTTATTTTTCGGGGGCTACTTTTCAAGCTCGCGTGCATGAAAATAGCACTCTAAAATTTGGTTTGCATTGAACTCCTATGCAAATTTACGGGGGCTGTTTTTTGGCATTTTCCGCGGGCTCTTTTTGGATTTTGGCAGCTAAATTCGCCCCGAGCCCCGTGGTTATTTTTCTCCCTGCTTCAATAGCCTTCAGATAATTGTATTTCCTTTTTTTGTGTAGGTTTTGGTTCCAGTCCCTTCACTATATATGTTTACCTATAGATGGCGGCATCGTGCACTCATATAAGTTTTCACTCCTTAGCTGTCTACTGTGAAATTGGCTCAATTGGGTTTGTAGTTTCATTGTTTTGGACCTTTCCCTCCGATTGCATATATTCTGGCCTCTGCTCTCTCTCTCTCCCTTTATCGACTCATCTATGTAGTCCACCGTTCGGTATTAACAAAATCGTTCCTAGAATATCTTCATATTTAGGCCTACAACTGTTTCTATTCCTCTGTTCTAACCCAAATAACATTTTTTTTCTTCTTTCCGAGTACTAATTGTTTCTCATTATGGCGAAAAGTTAACCTATTCATTATATCTTGTTTTGTCCATATTGCTGAATGTTATCACTTTTTCTGTTTGCAGAATTATAAGTTGCGAATGATGTGCTAATTTCGTGCTTACCCATGTTAGGTTCCCTATTTCCCAGTAAATCAACAATTGGTGATATTTCGTGTGGCGGTACTTTGAATAGTACTCTAACTAGGGAGCCATATCCTCCACTGTTTATTTGGGTCCAGTGGTGGGTACAGCACATGGATCGGACGACAAATACTGTTTCTTGTCTTACTAGCTTCCTCGAATTACTCTAATGCTGAGAGGGTCTATGCTCCCGGTTCCCCCCCCGGTACTGCCGGAACGCTTACCCTGGTACGTATTCTAATATGCCGGACTCGTGGACCTCTCCTTACCTCCACTAAGGCGAGTCTAGCGGAGTTCCGTACGCCTACCTTCGTAACCCTAACATAATCAGTTGACTAATATAACTAGAAGTGGCAGTTGTCGGCCAACCTACATGTATTCCCCGTGAATCTAGTAGTGAATATGAAAAATATCTTTGTATAGGACCGTAGAAGGTAGGGTAATAGTTAAATAATCACACAAGACAAAGGTTTGTCCTGTCACAAACTCATCGCCGCTGCAGACTGTGCACGAGTACATTAAAATTGGTCTGCCTTAGGGGTGTTTTGGGTACGCGACACACGCGTTCTCCCAAGTGATGTGTAAGTTATAGGGGAAGTTGCTCGCGCTTAGCTGTCAATTAGGCGGGTCTTCCGCGCGGTAAAGGGAAATATGATAAATTCAGTCTAAGGTTCAAGGTCAAGGTCAAAACTTAAAGCGTTCCAGTGACCTGGTCTTCGGTACGCGACACACCCTTGCTTCCCAAGGATGTGTAAGTTATAGCCAAAGTGT